AGAAAGAGAGAGAGAGAGAGAGAGAGAAAACGTTACGATACACTCTCTGTCCTTCGCATCGCGTCTTCAGCTTGTCCGCACAGTCTATCTGTGGCCGCGGGCCGATTCGCGCTCGTCGCTTGTAACGTAAATCGAACCGCGGCCACAAAGTCTGTAGTTGCTTGTGTGTACGTATATACATGTATTTCCAATACATGTTTACGACTAGAAATCAATAATTTGGAATGGTAATATAGGAATTACAAATGACGATAATTACCGACATTATCGACATTTTTAATTCCGTTCACATGAGGGCGCTATCCCGTCGGAGTTGGCCCGTCACTCCAGCATCCCCTTAAATCTAGTGCATAAGTACAACGGATGTTGTTTGATCTTACACGCGATACAATTCCGTGATGTATTTAAGAAAAAGGCTTGATTCAAAGAGGTTCTTTGTCGTTTCTTGGCACTGTATTCGTCTTTATGTCTATCTACATCGGTTGATTTCGACCTTTCGCGTTTCGAGGCGCATACCGCTGTTTTATATAAAAATTCGTATATCTGTTCAAGTTTCGGATATTCATCCCTTTCAAGAATGGCCTCCCATTTTTCTAGAGTATTCTTCGGTAATTTAGTTTCTATGATGTGAACAATTATTTCTTCCCCGACAGAGACACTTAACGCGTTAAGAGACGCGACATGTTGCTGGGTATCGTCGGCGAGTTTGGACAAACCGTTTGTAGTTTCCTTTTCTAAAGTCGGAAGATTCATGATCAATGAAATGTGTCGCGAGATTAAAATTCGTTTTACTTCGTAAGCCTTTTCCAAAAGTTCCCACGCCTTCGTGAACTCTATACCGTCGGATGCAAAAATCTTTATTTTATTGGCAGCTGCGCCAGTTAATGCTGACTTTAGATATTGTAGCTTATCCAGATCCGATAAATCAGCGCGAGAAATGATCATGTTGTCGAACGCGTTTTTAAACGAAAGCCAGCCTTCGTCTTTCCCATCAAATGTTGGCAAAGGAGCTTTGGGTAACTTAATTCGTTGTTTTTGAATAGGTGGGGGTCCGGACGGTCTTTCTCGAATTTCATCGCTTGATGCATTCGTACTCGCGGATGATAAATTCGTAGTATTTAAGATATTTTCCACCCTGCTCGCGAGAGAATAAAATTGATCTTGAATATGAGTAAATTCGTTTTGATGCTCGTCGTTTGCATCTAATATCGCGAGTTCGTCATTATGATCTTCGAACGCGTGATATAATTCCTTGAGACGCGCTATTCTTAATTTTAACGTCGCGTTATCCCATCTATTCTCATCGAGGATATTAGTCAAATTCGTTATCTGAGCCTTTAACGATGTACGTTTTTGGATAAGAAGTTTGATTCTATGGACCATTGTTACGGGAGTCGGAACGGAATTAAGATTAAAGAAACTTTAGTACTCATCTGAAGACTGGAATTGAGTATCGCCTTGCCTCTGTGCTCGTGAAGAACGGTCGATCTTGATCTTGGTTTGTATAGAGTCTCTTAAGTATGAAAGCACATACCTCACAGGAGGCACCAAAATGTAGGGTTTATCAATATAAATTGTTTAAAACTTATATTGTAGTTTTGATAGTTGTTTATTTAATTTTCCTTCACAAATGTCTGAATCGGAAACACGCCGCGATAAC